TATTAAAAGCTATACTTTTGTCAGAAGTTGAGTTTTATAGTTTTGGACAATTCCTAAAATTATTTGACACCATTTTGCTTGGGAAGGGAAGGGAGGAAAAAAAAGGAGGTGGGAGAAACTTAGTCCTCTGTTTCCTTTGGTGACGGAAAGTTCTGTAAAGAGGATTTGGTCTGGGGTTGTGGTCGAGCTCATTAAAGAATAACCACCATCACCACCATGGAAACTCAGAGTTTTACGAGAAACTTCTCCAACAACTTCCTTTCTTGTTCTCTGGTTGCAGGCGGGTGAGCTGCCCTTCACAAGCCCCGGCCTCCGGGCAGCAGCGGGGAGCTTTAACCTTGATTTCCAAAGGCTTGCCCTGGTTGAGGGGCCAGGCCAGGGCACAGGAGCCGTCCTCAGGCTTCCCAGATCCCCTTCCCTGCATCGGAGAGAGGAAATGGGCCCCAGAAACCCTGATTGTGAAACAGTTCTCTGTCCGGAAAGGCGTCTGTGTTTTCTTCTCCCCACACTCGCCCTGTCATGGGCTGGCCTTGGGTTTCAGGCCCAGAGACTGAACTTGTGGGCAAATTGGGTTTCCGCCTCAGCTGAACATTTCTTTGGAGCCTGATGCTCTTTAAAGCGCCTTAGCATTCTGGGGTGGGGGGACTAGGAGCCTGCTCACTTCTTCACAAAACCCTTCTCCAAAAACCCTCTGTCCCCCTCCCCAAAAAGAATCTCCCCGGCCTGGTGGAAACAGGCGCTGAACATTATTTTCGGCCTTGGGACCACTTTGCCTGTCCCCTCGAAGTGCCCTCGCCCAAACAATAACCCCTTTTAAAAAACTTCGCGGTGGCAATGAGACAGACCTTTTAAACCTTTACGCAGCTGTTCAAATACAACATCATTGTCAGGTTAAAAGCCTGGCGCCTCTAACTGCTCCGGCTGCGGGATGCCGGCCCCGGCGAAGCCCGAGGTTTAGACATTACCTTTCCTTGGGGTGGCTGTTTTTAAGCTTGAGGATGGGGGTGGGGTGGGGTGGGATGGGTGGAGAGGAAGGCAGGGAAAAAAAATCCAACTTTTGACTCTAGTCTGTTGCTACTCCTGTTCAAAGCTAACAGCCACGGACCGGCACCCCAAAAATTGTTTTATCAGAAGGTGGAGATCGTGATCCTAGCCTCAGCTAAGCGTGCCCAGGGCTGGACAAAGTGCCCGCTGCGCACGCTCTCGGCGGGCGCCCTGACGCCAGCCTGGCGCTCAGAGACGCTCGTCCCTTTGCCTCTCAGCCAGGGTCGCTGCCTGGAACTCGGTTCTCCAATTCTCCCTATCCCACTCGTGAGGCAAGACTGTTCAATCTAATCGGGAATTTTATGCCCATCAAATGCCCTTTCATAATCTTTATTTATACATGAAGAAAACATTCAGGCTAAAACCCAGCAATTCCTCGCCAAGCGGGTAGGTCTATGGTGAGCCAACACAAGCAGGATCTGCCTTCCGAATTTGGGGGCCTTTCTGTTTCAACTCTGGGGCCTTTGGGCTCTAAGTCACCCCTACATTACATCTGGCTTTACATGGTTCTTCTCCATTCACAGAAAATATGTGTCTCGGCTCTGATTTTGAATCTATTATCACAAAATTCTCTTTTATTCCTTCTCAAGTATCTGTCTTTAGACCAGTTCCTTGAAGCCAGGGACGCCAATATTTCAGAGGAATTTTATAATAAAAAATAGAGCAAAATAGAAACAATACAAGGGAATGTTCTGGACCTGGGAGGATGGAAAGTTCGGTTAAGACTCTAACACTAAGTTGAAGAAAATGAAATGAAAGGCAGTGGCTTTTAAGGCCAGCCTGTATTTTGCTTAGGAGTATTTAATGTAGCTGCATAGCTGCTGTTTTCGATCATCTTTAGATCAGTTGGAGCAGTTACCATTAATAATAAATCAATATTGCACTATAAAGGAGATGAATATCCATATTTGTACCAAGACATCCTTCTCCCTGGCACAGCTCTTTCCAGAGAAAAAATTTAATAGGGTCGCTTTAGCGAGAAATTAGCATTTGTAATCCAGAAGTGGCTTGCATCTGCGCTCTTCTGTCACCAGGAAGAACAGTGACCCTGGGCCTGAGTAGACTTGGGGACTCCTAGGTTAGCCCTGAATTGGGGCCCTGAGTGGCCTCAGGGCTGTGCCATTCCCTGGGGGCAGATTGGATGGGAACAAATTTTAAAGGCTGCTTCCCCAGGGAGCCCCTCCGGGTTGCACTGAGCACCTTCCAGCCAATCTGAAAAGAAATCGAGGGGGCAAATGGGCAGGCTGTGGAAGCCACCACCAACTCAATGAAGGGTCTGTGGAGACTCTGCAAAAGGGCAGGCGGCCGGGAGCCTCTTTCCATCCCAGACACAAAAGACTCCTACTTGGCGCACTTTCTCTCCAACTCAGGATATGAGATCTCAGTGATTCAAAATACATGGCTGTACTCCGTGAGCCCCACAGGCTCTGAACAATCAGGAGGGGTCGGGTCCGCAACCCCCGGAAGTCCTGGTCCAATCCTCTGTCCTTTCTCAGACCCATCTTGGGCGCTGCGGGTAGGAAGGGAACTGCAGACGGCTGAAAGCCCGTTGTCTGAGGAAGGCTGCCAGCCAAGGCCAAGGGGCTTCGAAAGCCCACATGCACCCTTGCTGGAGCCGCCTGAAGAGGAATATAACGACATTTGGGGAGGAGGGTTCTCTCCCCACCTGGACTGAGACCCAGGTTCCGCTCGGAGAAATGTCGCTTCGCAGTAGCTTAGCAGGACCCGTGGTCAGACAGGTGGGAGCCGGGGGTGCCCATGGGGAGCACCTATGCCTCTGGTTGGTGCCTCACTGGGGGGCTCATGGCGCCCCAGCCTCCACTGAAGCTGATGCCAGCTCCCAGGGGTGGACCCGGGGCCTTTGGTTCAGGGTTTGGAGAAAGGAGACAGAGGCAGCAGAGCCGAGGAGGCCAGCACTAATTCTGGGTGTTGCGGGGGCTTCACAATGAACTTCGGGAAAAGAAGGGACAGGCACTCTCCCCCAGAACAGCCCATGCCTGTCCTGGAGCCCTCCCTTTTGGACAGAGGATGGCGACGCAGGCCCTCCCCAAAGTCAGGGGCTTTGCAAAAGGAGGTTGGGGGGTAAGAGAGCATGCAGCAAGAAGACTGCTTCCGAGAGCTGGTGCCAAAATCAAACTCCGTTCTCAAGGCCAGCAGGCAGCTGAAAAGAGTGTCCAGGGTTCTATCAAACGCAAATCTCGTTTGCTTCAAATGCAATCCCCATTCTATGCTGCCTTGCCTCATTGTAAAAACGTTTCCCGGGACAGCCTGCTGCTTCCTGCAGCCGCATCAGCCCAGCCCGGCCCAGGCACCCCCAGCTCATAGTTCTGCCTGCGCTTCTCACTAGGGGCAGCCCCGGTGCCAGGCATGGCCGGGTTGGGGGGCACTCCCTTGCCCAGAACGACCGTCTCAGTCCCGACGCATCTCATTTTCTCTGAGACCACACTCAGCTAAGTTGCCAGCGCCCGGATCAGCCTTAAACAAAAGCCTTTTAATCATCCCAGGCGGTCGGAGAGCGTTATCAGGCGGACGCTGTTTTGGGGAGGAGTTGGTCCTATCCTCATATTGTTCTCCATACTCAAACCAACAAGACAATTAATTTCTCTAATTGAATTAGCTCTCAGTGGCATGACCTATTTCGAGATGTATGTATCGGTCTTTTAAAAAAAAATCTCTCCTTGACACCACCAGGTTATACTAAGGTATTCTTTGCAACAGCGTTATCTTGAAGGAGACAACGATTAGGTGATTGTCTGTTTCAGGAATATGGTTTATACAACTTCCCACACCTCGTCGCTGCTTAGAACAAACAAACAGCAAACAAATACCTTAGTGGCCCCGTGTTTCTAACCGGCTGAGATTGCCTATTAGAATCAACATTGGAAAAGATAGGGTACCGCGGCCTCTCCGCCACACGCGGCTTCTGGAACGTGAGCGCGCCCCCGTGTGGCTCTCCAAGGCCATGCAAACGGGAAATGGTATCTCTTGGTTCGGCTTACCTACGGTACTGGACACACAAGCTTGCTACATTTAAACGCAGTTAAAAAAAAAAAAAAGATAGATGGAGAGAGAAAGAAATAAAGCAGTTTTAAGCTCCTGCAACGACCATACTACTAGGGGACTGACATTTTAACGGACGCCCAGAATTCCACACAAAGGAATCCCCTTCCGAACGAAATTATTCAATTATTCTCTTGCAATTTTCACCAAAGGTTGAAGGACACTTTGGAAAACAATATAAATATTTTTAGTTTTGTTCCATATCATAGAAAGCACAATAACTTATCTGATGGTGCAGCAGTTTTTTTCAAATACAACGAAGGTGTAAATCTGACTAAAGCTTCCTCTTTCAAATGCCTGCTTTGAAAGCCGTGGTTCTTCATTAGAGCAAAGAGGACTGCTGTCTGTGACCACCCCCACCTCCGCAAAAAAAAAAAAAAAAAAAAAAAAAAAACCACCTCAGTATATACTAGCTGTATAAAAAAACATGCTGGTAGACACTTAAATCTAACCAGTATTTTAAAAAGAAGTCAACTGCTATTGAATTACACAAATGTTTGAAGGGAAATTAAGGTTATTGATCCTGAAATTAGGCATTTGCTTAGATTTATGGGGAGCCCCTGATATGATGCTGTGTGGTCATAAATGTATGTGGGGGTCTGGATATGTGTAAGCATGTCTGTGTGAGAGTGGGTGGCGGCTGAATATCACAGAAGAACTTTAAGGCGCCTAATTATTCAGAAAGGTTAAAGGTGATGACCTTGACATTTTGGAAGTTCAAAGGCATACACTTATGCACTTATGTTTTTCCTCCCCCCCCCCACCAAACTTTGGCAATTAAAAAAATTTTACGTTTGGAAATGCATACCTCTTCTGAAAATGCATGGGGTACTGTACATCTTATGGATTTTTCCTTTTTTCTTTCTTTCTTCCTTTCTTTCTTTTTTTTTTTTTTAACACTTTGGGCTTAGGAGAGGTTAAGAGTCATGATTCACTTTACCTTTTTTCAGAGAAAGAGATGCTTTTCTCACTCCTACGGTTTATTGCACATTGCGGAAATCTCTTTTGGGCCCACCAGAAGGTGTATAATATAACCCAATTAAGCTGTTTAGAACTTTGGCTTTTATGGTGTTGTCTAGACAGTTCAAGGTTTTGTAAACAGCCTGGCCTGGCCCAGCAACATAATGTATAGTTCGGCCCCCACCACATTCTTTAACTTGAAGCGATAAATGCAGTGAGAAGTGGGTCTGCAGCCTCAGGCCCTATTCCAGGGAGGGGTCTTACCTTCTCTACCACATGCCTGCTGTGACCCTAGCAAGGATCCCAAGCCCTCTTGACCACTGGTAACTCCCTTTTAGCAAACTTTTTTTTCAAAGAAGCTTTCTAATTTTGGTTTCTTTTTTTAAGGGACCTTGGGTCCTGACACCTTGTTAAGATTAAATTTAGATTTCTAACAAGTTTTTTTAAAAATGAATTTTGTCTCTTCAGAAATTCCAAGTTCACTAAATTGGGGGTGGGGGGAGTAGACTTCCTTCTTAGGTTCCTGCTGCCCCAGCCTCACTGCCTACAGAAAACAGCACCAGAATGGCTGGGTCACAGCCTTAATTCAGAAATTCATCCCTGAAGTGATTTTTAAAACCGGTGTAGCCTAGGCAGGGTGGGAGAGAGCTACTCTTATTTCAGCGGGATTAAAAAGCGTTTCACCTGGTTTTCAGTTGCATATGGGAGAAGGTTCTGGCCACCAAAATCCCCTAATAAGACACTAAACTTCTTTAAAGAGTAAAAAATCATATAGTGTGTTGAAGCTGTAACCTCCATTTTACCAGAAACCATTTATTCACACAAAACACAGTGACTTATGCCTTCATACGACAGACCAACAGGCCGAAGATACATTTCCCAGAGTTTAAATAATCTGCATTCACCAAGGGGATGATCAGGTCCCTTAAACTCAGAACAGAAACAAGCACCTTCCAGCCTAGCGGCCTAACTCTCTACAGATCCCACAGCGTCCCCACGGGGACTCTGAGAGAAGGAAGGAGAACAACAGCACATTGGCGGTAAAATTGTAAAGGGACGTTTGCATTTACCATTTTCCCCTTATTAGGATCCATTCGGCCAAGTCCCCGGCCTCGTCCGCAGGCAGCAGTGGTCGCTGGGAGGTCCCGAGTTGACCGTGGGAAGGAATCGTGGAGTTCCACAGAGAAGAGACGTCATTAAACCCAAGGACACTGGGCCTGCCCAGGGCAGGCTGATGGGGAAGTGGGTGGGTGAGTGGGGCTCGGGAAGAGGGGTGCTTCCTGGAGCTCTCAAAATAAGGGGTTTCCAGTGAAATACTGCAGACGGTCTCTGTTCAGTTTCTTTTCTTTCATTCTGCGATTCTGGAACCAGATTTTGACTTGCCGGTCAGTGAGGTTGAGCATCCGAGAGAGTTGGAGTCTTTTCTCTTTGTTTATGTACACGTTAAAGAAAAACTCGCGTTCCAGTTCGCGGATCTGGTACTTGGTGTAGGGACAGCGCTTTTTCCGGGACCGCTGGGGGGCCACTGCAAGTCAAAGAAACCAAGAGGTGAGAGGAGCCGCTGGCTGCCCACCCCCGGCAGCCCGCCGGCCCAGGCCCGCACGAGGGCCAGGCCTCGGGCCCTTTGGGGACGTCCCCTGCCGCCACTGAAAGGCCCTGCCTGCGTCGTGGGGGTTGATATATGGGCGGGCACAGGAGAGAGTGCGGGCGTGGACCTGTGTTCACGCCCGGACACACACACACACACACACACACACACACACACACCCTGGCACGGAAGTGGAGAAGCAGAGGGCAAGGCCGGCTCTGAGTTGGAACCCGAAGGGAGAGAAACACAAGCGCGCCCAGGCATCTGCTCTACTCCAGTCAGCAGCGCGCGTCAGCCAGAGGCTTGGATAAAGTCCAGTTCAAGGATCTCCCCACCCCACCCCACCCGCCCTTAAAAGTAGGAGGCTCGAGTGTCCACGTTCACAAAGTGGCTTGAAATCTGCCCCCTTCACTCCAGGGTCTCTAGCACCACCACCCCCTTCCAAACTGGGGAAAAGCTCTCTGCAGCGATTAATGTCCCCTTCGAAGTCTACCTTAAGCCCACCTAAATTGGTTTCCTATCGTAAACACACTTTACAGCGGCCCGGGAAATCTTATAGGATGTATAAACCCCTTCGAACGCTTATAAAGTGGCACATAAAACGGCGCAAGCAGAGGGAGGCCCCCGCCGCCCCCCCGCGCCCGCGGCCCCCCGGCCCAGCAGCCCACCCCGCACCGGGTGCCTACCTGTGCCGCCACTCTTCTCAGCCCCCGCCTCCCCCGGGGGCCCCTCGCCATCGCCGCCGCCGCCTTCTGCCGCCCCCTTGGGCTCGGAGCCCGGGGTCGCCTTGGCGCAGGGACTTCCCCCGCCGCCACCGGCCCCGGTCTTGGGGTCGCCCTTGTCGGCAGCGCCCTCGGGCTGCGGCGGCGCAGGAGGTGGAGGGGGCTGCGGCCCTGCGAACGGGGGCCCGGGCGCAGCCTCGTAGAACTGATCAAAACCCTGCGGCAGGATGCCATTTCGGCCCACGGCGCTGTAGAAGTTGGAGGCGGCGCTCCCGGGGCCGTGTGGCGGTCCGGGCGCGGCGCACACCGGCTCCGGCGCCTTGAAGAGCACGTCCGGCCGGCGGCCCGCGGGAGGCAGCAGCTCGCGCTGCATGGCCGCCTCCTCCGCCGCCGCCGCCGCTGCCGCGGCCGCCGCCGCCGCCGCGTAGTAGGGAGCGTAGCCCCCGGCGCCGCCGCTGCCGCCCCCGCCGGGGCCGCCCCCGCCGCCGCCGCCCCCAGCGCCGCCGCCGCCGCCGCCGCGGTACGGCCACTTGGTGCGCTCCAGGCCGTAGTCGCGGAAGGCCACTTCGCGCACGGGCTGGACGTGCGGCGCCAGGTTGGAAGAGTAGGGGAAAGTCATCTGGCAGGACGACGGTTGCGATAGGAACGACGGCTTGCTGGCGAAGTCCGACGGGGCCACATAGTAGGCGCAGCCGGGCAGGTACATGCTGGCTGCGCTCGGGCCGCACTCATCAAAGTCGTTCATGGCTCCGCGGCGTGCGCGCCGGCGAGCCCCGGGCCGCTCCCCGCGCCGCCAACCTGAGCCATCGATTGCACAAGAGGCTTGGGCCAGGATCAACTAAGCAAAAATCCCCACCGGGCGCTGACGTGCAATTCATCTTGATTGATTCTGGTGGTAATTATGTCACGTGACGCCATGGAGAGAAATGTCCTTATATCTATATCAGCTCTCGCCAACACGCCCCGGGACGGCTCCTGGCGCCGAGACACGCGCGCGCTGGGGGCGGATCAGTCTCCAGCTCCAGCCAGCACTCCCCGGGCGCTCCCCGACCTGGCTGAGCCGCAGGCCGGTCACCTGTGCGCCGCCGGCGGCTGCCACTGCTGGGTGCATCTGCCACCGCCCGGCTGGGCCGCCCGCCCGCGCCCGCCCGCCCGCGCCGCTTTAAGTACGCGGACCGAAGCCGGCGGGGAGGAGGAGGGAGGGGGAAGTAGGGGGAGGAAGGGGGAAGGGAAAGGACCGGAGAGCGGAGGGGGGAGCCCCAGCCTGGGGCACAGGGGACTAGGTGTGAGGTTGTGAGGTTCCCACCCCCCACACCCCTTCCTACAGCCGCTCCCTCCCCCGCGACGCCGCCACCCTCTGCAGCTTGCGGGTCGGGAGCTTGTTGCTTCTTGCTCAGGGGGCGTAATTGCGCCACTCTCGGGGCTTACGGAGCCCTGATTTACATATTTCTCAGCCCTGCGCTTTCATCGCAGAATAACTTGGCCCTTTCCACTACTGACCCCGGGAGGGCGAGTGCCAGGCTCGAAAAAACCTACACCAAAACCTTACCAGGAGCTCACCCAGGCCAGGGCCTCGGTGCGCACTCGGATCTCATGCCCTCTCTCCTCCTCTCTGTTCCTGTCTTCCTTTCTCCTTCCTCCGCCTCCCTTCAGTCTTCTCACTTCTTTCTCTCCCGTCCACTCTTCTCCTACTCCCTTCTCTTGTTCCCTCTTGCCTTTTCCCTCTTCTTACTTTCCTTGTTTCCTCTCCTCTTAATCTCCTGATCCTCTCTTCCTTTCCCCTAGCTGTGTGTCACCACCTCTGTGTTCTCCCTGTCGCCTCTCTGCCTTTCCTCTCCTAATGCTAAAGCAAGGAGGAAGTTTAGCCAGCGGAGACGCCCCATGACCCTCTAGAAGTTGGGGGGTCTGGAGAACAAAAGGATCTGGAGTCCTACTCTAAAGGTACCTGGTCTCCCACTCCCCACCACCGGAGACAAACCACTGACGCCTCCACCCTCCTCACCCTCTCTGCTTTTTGGCCTGAGCTAGGACCAGCTCGCCTCACAACCGGCCCCTTCCCTGGTCGGAGACCCGCCAAGGGCTACGAATCCCGAATCTCCGCCGCCTGGTCTCCCCTAGGCTCCTGCGGTGCCCTTGCGCCAGCATGGTCCCTGTGGGGGGCGGGGGTAAGCCCCCCCCCCCAGGTCCCTCGGCTCTGGGGAGGGGAGCAGAATGCTCTCAGCAGCTTTTTCCTCCTTGGTTGAACTTCTCTGCAGCACTTGGCCCCGAGAGACCCCCATCCATTTGCCCCAAGGCCTCACTTTCTTCCACGGCCGCCGGGTCCCTCTTTCCTAGCCCGGGGGTCCAGGGGAGGCCTGGACTCCCGCCTCCAGGAGAGCCAGCGCTTTCCAAAGGTAAAATCGGTCTCTCAGAAAGAAGCTTTCCAAACCCAAATCCCAGAACCAAGGGCAGGAAGTTGCCCCTCTCCCCAAGATTCCTAAGCCCAGGCAATTCCAGCACGGGGTTCTGGGCCTCAGCCCTATGCCCAGAGCAGGCGGTGCAGGCTGTGAAGCTGGTTCCCTCCCTGGCCCCCGCTGCCGCAGTGCCCGTGTGGCGAGCTCTGCCCACCATGCCGACAGACAGAGAAAAGGCGGGTGATCGGAGCTCATATCTATTTTCTGGCCGTTGTCCCCCCCCCTTTTTCTCCTCCCTCCTTTTCTCCCTCCCACTCTTCTTCCTCCGCCCCCTCCCACCTCTGCTTTCCTCCCAACACTGCGCAAACGGGTCTGTGGCGACTGGAGGGCAAGGAGGCTCCCCCCGCCCCAGAACTGCCTCTCGTTTTGTGAACCCTCCTTCCAGCTGGCACCCTGGCCCAGGTTCCCTCTCGCCCCTTTCTCCTCAGTCCAGACCGCCAGCACACTTATCTGCCTCTCATCTCCATCGCCCGCCAAGCCTCTCACTTTCGGCTCGTGGTCGACGCCCCTGGATCTCTCTCCTAAAATGGCTCCCCGGACACTAGCCCTGCGGCAGCTCAGGACCCAGGGCAGCAGCTGCGGGGACCCCCCCACCCACCCACCCAGCCGGGTCTTTACGTGTCTGGGAGTGCGCAAAATTCTCGCACCTTCTCTTTGCACGGGGCGGGGCGCAGGCAGCCCGCTGCCCCCAAAGCGAAGCCTGCTGACCGCTGAAGAGGGAAATGGGGAGGACGGAACCATTCAAGTTCAACGACATGGCGATGGCGGCTCCGGTTGGAGCCGCGCTTTGGCGGGGGTGGGTGAGCCATCAGCAGCGGCGCGCGGGTGCAAAGGGGAAGGGGCAGCGGACCCCTTTCTGCGCGTTTGCGCAGATCCCCGCCCCCACCCCCAACACTTGGGCTTTCATTTTGGGCCCAGCCCGCTTCGGCCTTTTGCCCCAGCTCCCTCCTGGATCCTCACTCCGAAACCCAAGGAAAATCGCAGCCTCCCGACCCGCGCGTCCCGCGAGAACCTACCATGAAGACTCCAGCGTTGTGGCCTTGTCCTTGCCTGCGCGGCCCCACTCGAAGCACAAGCGCATCCGACCCTTCCCGCACAGCCAGCTGCTCCGCGAGTGGTAGCTTTCCGCGCAGCGCCCAGACGCGATGCGGTAATTTTGAGCCACCCAAGATAAGACACTAACTTGACCTTAACTTTGTCAGGGCGCCCCTGGTATCTGGAGAACGTGAACAGACACTGTCTGGCAGCCCTCGTAAAAGCTGACTGGGGAAGGGATTCTGAGTCATTTCATTTATTGCCACTACAGTTCTGCAAGAAAGCTTTTCTTCCCTGCCAAACTTTAATTATTTATGCTCTTTTGGGAAACGAAAGAAGAGGAGAAACGCGGGGAAAAACACCCAGAGCCAGTCCCTTCCCTGCAGAGCCTTGGGAATGGGCTCCCTAAGTCAAGTGACTGGAGAACAAAAATGTGGGGAGATCACCTTTGTCCAAGGACGGTCGGACAGGCGCTGTGCACCCCCCCCCCACGAAGTGGGGGGTGATTGCAGCTGGGAGAGGCGGGGTGAAGAGGCCCCCCCCCCATGAATATTTACAACGGTTCTGGATTTCTCCTCCACCGGCGGGCCTCCCGGAAACCTCCCTAGTCCTCCTCCTTCAGAGAGAGCCCCCAGGCCTTAAGAGTCCCCCGGTGGGCCCTCTGAGCTTGCAGCCGGTTGAATGCCAGCCGAAGCCATTTTTTCTCGTTTAAAACCCTTTTTCTCGGTCAAGAGGCCTGCCCAGACTGCAGCATTTCGGAGGACGCATTTGTCTTTGTGCAAGAGAATGTTGAGCCCTCAGATTTCAGCATCATTTCTCTCTGCATTTGTTTCTTAGGAATTTTATCGTGGTTCCAAATCCCTGCCAGAACCTTGGCTAGGAGAGGAGAGAGGACATCACCGCCTTTGAATTTGTGCGGATCAGTAAGGGGGATAAATTAGAAAAACACTGCTGAAGCTCCAATGGACAACGAGATTTTACACTTAGAATAATTTCAATCTCTTTGGGGAGTGGTCTCCATGAATTTCTCCTTCAACCTCACCTCCCAGACTAAAGAGAAAGAGCACGATGATTTAATGGTATACATTGGAAAGAAACTGTTTCTCCGTGTTATCCTAGGGCCTGCATCTAATTCCGGTTTCCTAGTCCTTTACCCAGCTCTCTGGACTTGAGGTCTGCGTGTGGCCTCCGCCTTTGTTCGGCTGTTTTGGGAGAGAGACTCAGCTCCTGGTGCAACTAGCTCCCGGAGCCCCATCAGGTGGGAAGACATTTCTAAAGATAGGGACTCACAACCTCTTGCTTCTTTTTTCTGTGCTGTTGTATTTTTTTCTTAAAAGAGCTGTTTTTAAATTGTTTTAAAATACACATCAAATTTGCTTCAGGAAAGGGGAATCGGAGCCCACGAATACTTGGTATTAGAAATTTAACGGTTTTGCTAATTCTTCCACTATTTAACGGTTTTGCTAATTCTTCCTAAAACTAGGAATTCTCTAGTTTTAATTTCAAAGCTAGCTGGGATCTGAGGTCTGCAAGCAGATAGTGAATGCTGAGCAGACTTTAACTTCCCAGCTTCAGCTAGAGGCTCCTAAGGCCTACAATGGGGTGTGGAGGCCACATTTCCCAAGGGAATCTGCTGGGCTCCAGACAGAAGTGCCAGGATGCAGAATTTCCATAGGGCATAGCCTGTTCCAAAGTAGCCTGACTGAAACATGGCAGGGAGAGATGTTTTGTGTTGAAATCTGAGGATCCTCATATCTTGACAACACCCTTCCCCAATAGCAAGCCCTAAAGTTTGAGAATTTAGGCAAAATATTGAAGCACTGGCCTACAAGCTAAGAGTTCACTTAATGCCTTCCAATCCGCTCCAAGACCCCCGTCTCCTCCCACTTGGATGCTTCATACACATTTTGTTCAAAGGCTTTTATACACCATTTTCAGACTGACTTGGAAGCCATTTTCTCATTTAATGAACAGTCAACACCTGCAGTGAAACCACAACCAGGAAAGAAAAACGAATTTCGTGGCCTCGAATCATGAGGAGGGAATCTGGAATGTTTTTGAAAAATTGACATCAGTCCCTTGACAGCTTGGCTGGGACCTGTATATTTATTTCCACTCAAAACATTTTGATGTATCTGATATATACAAGCTATTGTTTTTTGGACAAAATCAATACAACACAAAACATGCACAACAACTATTAGATAGCAAAGAAAATGTAATTAGTCTAAACATAAACTGCGGTAGGTTGGACTGA